TTTAGTTGGAGTCTCACTCCATTGCCCAGGCTGGAGTGCAATGACACGCTCACGGCCACCCCGGTGTTGACCTGCTGGGCTCTGGCGATCCTTCTGCCTCAGCCTTCCAAATATCCGGAACTATAGGCAATGCGCTACCATGCCTGGCTAATTTTTTGATTTATTGTAGAGATGAGGTTTCACCAAGTTCTCCAGGCAGGTCTCGAACCCGCGGGCTCAGGCAATCCACTCACCTCAGCCTCCCAAAGGCGCAGGATTACAGGCTGAGCTACCGAGCCTGGCTGAACAGTGATTCTTAAACGCTGGTCTCAAGACCAGTAGCATGGGCATTACAAGTAAGTCCCCTACATATGAACCTTCAAATTAAAAATTTTAACGATGCACACCAGCATATTTTTATATATTATTTCTCTCCACCAGGTGTCAGTATAAGTATGTACTATATAGCCAACTAAACACTATAGCCTGTTAAATAAATACAGTACTATAGAGTCTATTGTGTTATTTAAGTACCTAGGTTATAACTTTGTTATGCTTAAAACAAATCTTCAGTACGGGTATCTGATCTCAAACCAGGTGAAGTGGGGAACAAAGGGAGGCCCAAACTTTACCTGAACGATGATCACTTACCTATCTAATCCTGAATTATAAACCATGTCTTTAAAAATAAATAAGTAAATAAATAAATAAACACAAAATTGACTTACAAATGTGCTCTCGGAATGAAACTCATTTGTATGTTGGGGACTTCCTGTACCTGGAAAAATGTTAGACATGCAGTTATTGAGACTGCCCAGATCCATTCCAGCAGTGGTGGTGGGGCAGCTATCTGTGGTTTAACAAGCTGCCTCAGGTGATTTTGATACATGCTAATGTTTGTCAACACCTAGTCTAGGAAAATGTCACAGAGAAGACATTTGATTTGTACCTTAGGGAGTTGATATGTACCGGGTAAAGAAAGGGAAGGGACATTCTAGGAGATAGACCATAATGCATATAAAGCATAAAGGTGTGCAGTTGTAAAAGTGAAATATATAAACATATTAGGGAAGCAGCACGTAATCAGAAGTGTGAAGGGAGGAATGGGAAATATGGCCAAAGTGGTAAAGTGGCGCCAAATTATGAAGAGCCTCAAATTTTATACTGTGGAGTTTGAACTTTATTTTGTAGACATAATGGGAAAAAACCAGCCTTAAAGCAGAGGTATATGACATGATTAGAAGTGCATTTTCATGCTACCTATAGAATGGATCTACAATAAGGCCTACCAATGAGGAGGATGTTTTGTCCTGGCAAGAAATAAGAGCTAAACAAAGACAGTAGAATAGGAAAAGAATGAAGGGGAAACAAACTACATTGAATAATGGTTTGACATCACCAGCTTTATGGTCAAGCTGCCTGGCTCTGCCACTTTTGAGCCATGTGGCTTTGAGAAATTTGTTTTGTGCCTGTTTTCTCGTCCATAAAAAAGAGACAATGATAGTAGTTCTTCATATAATTGTTGTAAAGTTTAAATGAATTAATAGCTATAAAGTATTTAGAACAGTGCCTAGTATGTAGCAAGTATTCAGTAAATATCATGTGTGTGTTTTATAGGGGGTAGTATGTCTAAAATTTCTAGTTCAGGTTAAAGGATAATACGATGATGAGATGACTTTGGAACATGCTGAATTTCAAATATCTGGAGGAAGCCTTCACTTCTCTGTTCCTCAATTCCTGCTGTCTTAACAATTGGAAACAGGCACTTAGGGTGGTCCTGGAAAACCGCTGAGCAGGTGAAATGAGCACAGATGAAAATGTGGTCAGCAGGAGAGAATGTCAAGGACCTGATGGTCCTGGTTGCTTGGGCCCTTTTTCCAGCCTTACATACAAGCTTCTGATTTATGCTTCTTAAATGAAATGAGGTGCTTAAATTCAGTAGCTACTACAGTTGGTGCAAACATGGCAGAACAAGTTAAAGCAATTTAACAAACACTGTGGTAATCAATAGTACTAAGTTAATAAAATATACCTGGTTCTCCCTCCTTCCAGTGATAAGACATGACTGCTCTTCCTGGCCCCCTTGTGGTTGGGTAAGACTTTGTGAGCAGCCGGGCATGGTAGCGCACACCTGTAGTTCAACTACTTGGAAGACTGAGGCGGAAGGATCGCCGGAGCCCAGCAGGTTGAGGCTGCGGTGACTGGGAGCAACCACTGCACTCCAGTCTGGGCGACAGAGTGAGACTCCAACTCAAACAAAAAAAAAGACTTTGTGAGACATTCAGGTCAATGAGTTGTAAATGAACGAATTCTGAGTTACTCTGTCAATGTGAGCCCCTGTAGCATTTTCTTCATCTGACATGAGCAGAGCCCCACCATTAACCTTCTAGAAATTCTTATGTAGTGTGAGCAAGAAACATATCTTTTTCATTTTAAGCTACTCAGATTCTGGAGTTGTTTCCATAACACAGCCTAGTCTATCTTGATACAGATATTATTTTAACATTTACCCCTTTCTTAAAAATTAAACAGATAGTTAATATCCAGTACTAGTGAAGGTTTGGGGAAACAGATACATGTTAAAGGGACTAACAATTGTTACAACCTTTTGAAAAAAGTAATGTGAGCCGGGCTGGATGGCTCAGCCTGTAATCCCGTGCCTTTGGGAAGCTGAGGTGAGTGGATTGCCTGAGCTCATGAGTTCGAGACCCGCCTGGGCAGTGAGACCTCATCTCTACAATAAATCAAAAAATCAGCCCGGCGTGGTATCGCATGCCTGTAATTCTGGCTACTCGGAAGGCTGAGGCGGAAGGATCGGATCGCCAGAGCTCAGCAGGCGAGGCTGCGGTGGCCGGAAGCGGCCACTGCACTCCAGTCTGGGCGACCGAGACTCCAACTCAAAAAAAAAAAACAAAAAACAAGAGAAAGTAACGTGACAGCAGATTCTATTAAAAATAAAAAACACTGGGCTTGGTGGCTCACACTGTAATCCCAGCGTTTTGGGAGGCCGAGGTGAGTGGATTGCCTGAGCTCGCGGGTTCGAGACCAGCCTGGGCAACTTCGTGAGTCCTCATCTCTAGAATAAATCAAAAATTAGGCGGGCATGGTAGTGTGCGCCTGTAGTTCCAGCTACTTGGAAGGCTGATGTGGAAGATCACCAGAGCCCAGCGGATCAAGGCTGCAGTTGCCGGGAGCGGCCACTGCACTCCAGTCTGAGTGACAGAGTGAGACTCCAACTCAAAATAATATAAAATTTTTTAAAAATTTAAAAAATAAAAAACAAAGTGTCCATTATTTTACTCAAATTCCATTTTAGGGAATCTGTTCTACAGAAATAAAAGCACTACTTCAAAAGGATATTAATTTTCGGCCAGGCACAGTAGCTCACGTTTGTAATCCCAGCACTTGGGAGGCCGAGACAAGAGGATTGCTTGAGCCCAGGGATTCAAGACTAACCCAGGCAACACAGTGAGACTTTGTCTCTACAATAAAGCAGAAAAATTAGCTAGACATGGTGGCATGCGTTTGTAGTCCCAGCTACTCAGGAGGCTGAGGCTGAAGGATCATTTGAGCCCAGGAGGTGGAGGCTGCGGTGACATGAGCGGTGATTGGACCACTGCACTCCAATCTGGAGAACAGAGTGAGACTCCAACTCAAAAAATTTTAAAAAAGATATTAATCTCTATTCTTTTATTTATTTATTTTTTTGAGTTGGAGTCTCACCCTGTCGCCCAGACTGGAGTGCAGTG